TTCCAGCTGCACATCTTCTTTTTGCTGTCAGCCCAATGGAAACACTAAAATCTAGCAATCAGCAGAAGAATTTGATGCTGGCAGTCTATCATATCCAGTGATGACTAAGTCCTGTCACTGGTGCCCCAGACTGCTTGCCCAAAGACAGCAGCACTAAGCCAAGAATGAGTTCTGGATCATGTCATACTTTGCTGTCATGCTGGTCTCAATTTAAACATTCTAAACCTTGTGACTCCAAACAGAGCTGTGCCCATTTGCTCCTTTCACAAATGTCAGGCTAGTCTCTTGAACCAATTACCTTCTGCAAGGCAATGCTTAGGTCACTCAAAACAGCTTTTGGCTCTCTGGGATATGAATCTGATCCGGGGCTGCCAAAGTGTGTGGAAAATGAAATTCCAGCTCCTGCTGCCAGGAAGTTACAGGAAACTGCCATCACACCGAAACATGTGGTGAAAACAGGAGTGATTGGGCCTGCAGCTGGGAGATGCTCCCTTCTCTCTGATAGCTCCTAAGAACTGGACTTGAGCTACCAAGTACAGACCTGCTAAAACCTCTGCAGCCTCTCCTTCCCCCTTCGTACAGCTCTGGGTCATAGCAGTCCCACGAGGATCCTGTGGGCCCAATGCAAGTTTTGCTCCAGTTGTTGCTGCAGCGCTCCAGTGCCTCCAGCTGCCTTTTCACTGCCTCTGGGTTCTTGCAGTAATCACAGCACTTATTGCAAGGTGGAGTGACATCGCCAAAGTACTTTGCGATGGCAGCGTGACGACACCTAGGAGACAAAAGGAAAAAGGATCTGGGGATTATTTCCACTGAAGAACTCCACCCTTCAAATGCAAGTTGTCATGTGATAAAGATTTGGGTGTTTTTTTTTTTTAAAGAGAAGTCTATACTAGCAGGAAACTGGACTTCTGTGCCTGGTATTTTGCTTATGGATTCTGTGCCTTCGCTTCCCCACATGTAAAACAAACTGGTGTCAATCTGTTCTGATAAATGATTTCAGATCTTCGAGATCCACAAAAGGTGGAATGGATGGAATATGCAGTTCTTAATTCTGCGTCATTGGCCAAATATCTGCCATCAGAAGATGACACAGATTTCAATCAATGGCACAGGTTGCACAGAGAGGTGGTGGATGACCAATCCTTGCAGACACCTGAGGTCAGGGCTCTGAGCACTGATGGAGCTGTGGGTGTCTCTGCTCATTGTAGGGGGTGGGACCAGATTACTTTTAAGGGTCCCTTCCAGCTCAAACTGTTCCATGACTCTATGATCAGTGGCCAGTCTGGGGAGAGTCCTACATGTACGTCCATGTGCTCACACATTGCACAAGCTCTACCAGCTTTAGCAAACTAGCCATTTGAAGACAATTAGATCCTTCTTCCAGCAATCTTCAAAGATTTTTGGCAGACATCAGTGCTTTGGGACATGTAAAAAAAGGTCAGTAACAGATATACAATCATTAGCAACATGGGCAGGAGGCCATTCCTCCTCTGGAACACTCCCTAATTTAAATGAGTGAAGATAGTGTTTTTGCCAGAGGAAAAAGAACCAGGGCAGCCACTTGTTTTCAGAAAGCTGGAAGAATTTAGAGGAGCTTTTCAAAAGTTGGGTTTCACAGCAGAGGTGGCCGTGGTATCTGAATCCAAATCCCAGCACCAGACACACAGAAACAAAATCATGCAGTTAGAGATAAATCCTGCAGTCAAGCAGCAACATGAGAATTATTTTACTGCAAGGAAGATCAAAGTGGAGATTTTGCTCCTGTATTGAGGAGTGTCTCAGCTGGCTTACCAACTTTGTGTGCAAAAAACTGAGTGACAGGGAGGAAAACCGAAAGAGTGTACACTTCATTTATTCTTATTAAAACCCTTTGAGAACAAGTCTGAGCTTGCCAGCAATCTGACTAACAAACACAGCTTGTGAACTTGCGTGAATTCTTCTGGGCCAGCATAAGTGCATGTGTACATGGCACAAAGAAGGCCTGGAAGGGTCTGCAGTGGTAGCTGGCACATTGTTCCCATCAGTTCCCCTGAGCTGGTGAGCTGGCCAAGCAGATGAGCGAGGAAAGCAGCAGCTCACAGTTGCCAAGCAGGAAAATGAGTGTATGCTGCAGTGCCCAGGGCTGGTGCTGCTCAGGTGAGGGCTGCAGTGTGGTGACGTGCTGCAGGGGCTGGGGACTCAAAGCCCAGAAAGGGCTCCCACAAAGCTGCCTTTATATCAGTGGCACTGACTCACTGGTGCCTTGAGCACGAAGAAAGAGCTCCTTTCATATATTGGGGAGGGGTGGGGGGATTGGGACGGACACAACTCATTTGATCCCCTTGTTCTCCTTTTCCAAAAGAGCTGCTGGTGCAGCCTGTCCTGCTGTTACCAGACAAACTCCAGTTCAAATGAAAGTCCACAACATCAACATGGCATTAAGAAGCGTTCTTTGTTACAGTGTCAGATGCACGGGGGATCTCTCCACCTCATGTGCACGCCTGGCACAAAAGATCTTCAGCTTATACGCATTACTTGTGTTACATATGTAAAGGTTTTCCTGGATAGCACATTCATATTCAATACTTTTCCCTAAAATTGTTAACACGGGGTTCTGCCTCCTTGCACACACTCAGCCTTTTCGTGGAGGGGTATCGGTGTGCCCTCTAGTTGAACTCTTTTTACACTATTAGGGACAGAAGGTTCCTTTTTGTGTGATGCTTTGCTGATGGCATCACCAACTACTGGTTCTTATCTTCAGACTGGCCTTGTGGAGGTGCAGGACATCCCCTAGTTCTACTTTTCCTAAAGAACTGCTGCTGTGGACTGTCCTGCCAGTGCTATGTGACTATAATAGCATCAATGAGCTGTCAGTTCCCCCCCAAAAAAACCAGGAGGGTGTTCTTATTACTTCCCATCTCTCTCAAACACACACTGATCTGAATTAGAGTTAAGTGAGGCATACAGGAGTGGTCAGGTCTCTCCCACTCCTACAGAACTCACCAGGCTTATGCTGGGGACAGACATCCACATGTACCCCTGTCTCTTAAAGCAAAAGGAGAGACCCTGCAAAGAAATCCTCTGGAGAAGCAGAGATCAAGTCTGATGTCACTGGAATTTAGAGAGGTTCAAGGTCCTTTAGGAGGGTCTGTCCTGATAGGACAAGGGGAAATGGTTCCAAACTAAAAGAGGAAAGATTAGGATTGGAAGTAAGGAAGTTTTTACACTGTGGGCAGTGAGGCAGTGGCACAGGTTGTCCAGACAGGCGGTGGTGCCCCATCCCTGCAGACAGCCAAGGGCAGGGATGGGCTGTGAGCACTGATGGAGCTGTGGGTGCCCCTGCTCAGGGCAGGGGTGGCACCAGATGGCCTTTAGGGCCCCTTCCAGCTCCCAACAATACTATGATTCTCAGTTCCTAGACTGCCAGCCTTGTAAAGTCAGGCTCAGCTTGCACTATCTGCCTCCTTTATGCAAAACCACCCAAATCAGGGTCACAGCCTCACCTGACCCAATGATAGCCATGAGTTGAGTCACTCAAATTCAGTTGCAGAATGAAGTTGCAGTCCCAGAAGTGGACACAAAAGGCCAAAAAGAGGTACCAAAATGGATGCTGGGGGAACCATTGGGTTAATGGGTAACTGAATACAAGGTTCTGAATCAGTTGGCTACACGTTGCCATGGTGGGGAAACTTCCCATATCTCATAAGCACCTGAAAAATGCCCAAAAGATGGAGAGCTGATTTACATCAGTTAATGATAGCTTGCATTATTACACATGTCCTGAAATGATTGAGTCTTTCCAATACACACTGTGTTGTTTTCTCCCCTACCCTTCTACAGGAGGGTTCTACTGGTCTCTGAAATGTAAAATCAGTATTTTATTTCAGACATCCTACCCAGGTTTTATGTCATGGTATAAGATGAAGAGCAAATGACAACCAAGTTTATTCATGTATTTTTGTCAGAGGCAATATGTGTCAGGAGAGTGCTATCTCAGCTCTATGGATGCCTATACCATGCCTCCTTTTTGTACTCCTTGCTTTGGTAGATCAGGTAAAACAGTACAATTGTTGCTACCATTAGTAGAAATGAGTGAGCTGTCCGAGAAGACACAAAGCCACATATCCAAGAAGCAGCTTTGCCTATGCCAAAACATGTCAGGAAAAAAGCATTCCTTCATAGGAGCCAAAGGAGGGTACACAGCCCCATTGAGAGCTCCCCAGAAATACAGCAAGTCTTGAAATAAACCCAAGAAAAGAGAGCAGTATGAAACATACAAAAATCACACAAGGCCAAATTATTTACACAGATGCCAGTTGCTGAACAATTTAATGTGCTCTACCAAATTCACTGCAGGGGAGGTAGAACAGACAACCTTTAAGGGTCCCTTCCAACACTGGTGATTCTATGATTCTGTGAAAAAGAAGGACAAATGGTGTGGTTGATGGAGTATTACTGTTTTGCACCTATCTGAAAGGCTGTAGCTCTATAGCAGCAGCTGAACTTCAGCAATCCGGAGCCAAGGCAGTGGGCATCAGCTGTCCCCAGTCCATCAGAAGCCCAATGCATTGGGAAAGTGAATGAGTTGGCCAAGGGCATGAAGCATATTCACCCCCAGCACAAGCACGCTGTGCTGCACTGTCACTGCAACTTGCAGTCAGAAAAGTTCCTTCCCCTGGGACTGGGAAGGAAACTGAGCAGCGCAGAGCGAAGGTAATTGCTTTAACACACCCCCAAACTTGTGCAAGGTGAGCATCGGCTTCAGCCCCGCTCCAGAAAACTCCACAATAAAAAGAGAAGAAGAGAAAACCTCACTCGGAAGGGATGTGGAGAAGCGAGCCCTGGAGGCGGGGGCTGCAGGCAGGGCTCCCCACGGCCGCCCGCCCTGGCACACACGTAACCCAAAACTGTGCTGCTCCGCGACAGCCGGCGGCACACGGAGGCAGAGACAACAGCTGGCTGTCAGTGCTGAGCGAGCAGAGCCAGCGCCGAGCCGGGATGAGGGGAGGGATGACGTGAAAGTTTCAGAAGGCAGAAGGAAAACAAGAGGAGGAGAGCTCGTGGCACGGCTGGGGTAAGGCTATTGCTGGTGTTCGGTCAACCATAGCACCTTCGCATTCAGCTGGTTAGCAAGTAGCTGGAGCTGGTGGGGCTCTTTAGGGTGAGCTGCAAAACCAGCCTGTGAACAGAGCTCGCTGGTTTAAGTTTGTTTGCAAGGGACATTCAGTTGCGAAGGTGGTGAGGGGAAAGTTTGTAGTAGGATTCCAGAAAGCTGTGCTGCAGCCAGACTGCTAACAAAAGGATTCAGCCTGCAGCCTTGCATTGCTCCTACAGTCAGAGCAGGGTAAGCGACTTTTTTGTTGATTAGAAAGGCTGTGTGCTCGGTTTTCTGTTGCTGCTATGGAATGTGACCTTAGCTGATAAGCAGGTCTACTGCAGGGCATTCTCTGGAGGGCTGATTCGATGCATTAGGACTCTGTTTGGGTGAGGGAACCGCTCTGCTTCTCTGTGTATGTGCCACTGGGGAGCAGCTGCCAGCACAGGGAGCACACGTCAAACCAGGGGGTGCAGCCACAGCGTGGCTCCAGAGCTCCTCCCAGCTGGAGCCAAGTTTTATCTCCCGAATCCTGAAGCAAATAGAGAGCTTAGAAAACAAACCCTGCTTGGGAAACTAGCACACTGTGCAACGAAAGCATCTGTGTCCAATAGCAATAAATGGAAAGATTTTACACAGCTTCTAACAAGAGAATTCAGAAAAAAGAAGAAACTCGAAGCAGTGTGTATCCAACACAGCTGGTGGTTTACAATCAAACCAGCATGGGAAGCCACTGCTCTGAGCAGAAACGTACACACACATACATGGTATATGGTTTACAACAACAGTACTGACAGGTCCGAATGCAGTGAGAGAGGAAGCAGAAAGAAACCACTGTGAGCTGTGGTTGAACAGAGGGGTGTCCCATAACCTGCACTGCCACCTGCCTGCTGCCGGGGAAGAGGAAGGGGCTGGCAGGAGGCCGAGCAAAGAAACCCCATTTTGTGCCACCTGAAAGTGATTGCTGTGCTTGGAAGACCTGAGCTGAGCCTCTTCCAGGGGTGCTGGGGCAGCCAGCTGCGTACCAACAGGCACAGGGGCAGAACGCCAGGAAGATGCCTTCCCCATTTCACACGTGCCTGTATGGAGGAATGTTAAGGAGCGGGTATTTCCACTTCTTTCCTTCCCATTAGGGTGAAGGGAGGGCAGGTTGTGTACAAAGACACAGAATTGGAGATGCCTGCGTGAGAAGACCCGGTGGTTAGGAGCCACACGCCTCCAGCTTAGCCCGAGGTTCAAAGGGGATGGAGGCAAGTTTCCATCCCGCTAATGAAGGGTCTCTTGTTTGTTGCAGCTGAGATGGTTTCACAGCAGGAGAAAAACAAAGTTTGGGGGGGGGGGGGGGAGGAAGGGGGAGGAGCAAGGAGAGATGTGCAGTGAGAGGGAAGGAGGGAAGCAGGCCAAGTTCTCCTCGTGAAAGAGAACCTTAACGGGTTTGGCTGGGGTCTCGTCCAGCACAGCAGTGTGTACATGTGGGAGGGGGGAGCAATATGAAACACATGTCTGGATAAAGGCAGCGGGACATGGCTTGTGTTACAGCTGTCACAGCACACGGCTTCTCACCCCGAGTGAAATGCAAAAGCAGTTCTGGAGGTACAGAACAGAACCATTTGAGCGAGCAGATCCCGGCTGCAGCAGCAGCTCTCCAGCACAGCCTGCCCACGCAGCAAGCAGCCGCACCGGGAGCGGACAAGCAGATTTCCCAAAGCTCAACAATGTGTGCCATTGTCTGGGAGCAGAGCAGGGTGGCTGACAGCAGGTTGGAAAGGGATTTCCATTGCCAGAGCCATACCTCAAACACCAAACTGCTCATAGATCTCAGTACATTTGTGAAGCGGCATTCATAGCTATCCAGTCACTTCTGCCCTAGGAAATTGTTTTGCTAATATTAGATGAGACTTTCAGGTTAGATTCAAGCATGAGCAACCCTTCAGCCTATAAAAAGTTCTCTTGTTTTATTTTTAAAATTGACCTTTTCCATTCACTGGATGGCTCTGTGCCTTCGTTTCCCCACTTCTTAAACATGGGACTGGCACTGAGGAGCTGCATCGTGGGGTGATGGGGATTTGCTTGTGGGATGGACTGGAGTAAACCACGGTGCTTCACAGAGCCAGCACAGTGCCCTCATGGGCACCTCACCTCCTCCAACTGCTACTGCAAGGAACTCAGAGCCTTTTTATATTAGTCTAATATTAGGTTGGAGGGGAGGAAAGCAACATTTACGCTGCTGCCTCAAAACCAGTCTCCAAATAGTGGGTGGTGGAGATGACAGGGTGTCCCAGCCAAATGGCTATTCAGGCAGGGCTGCTTTCTGATCTGAAGGAATGTGTGGCCTTCTTTTCCTGACCAACTGACAAAGTTAAAGCTTTTCTCCCATGACATGGTGCTGTAGTTTACCAGTTTGGGTGTGTGCTGTTAAAAAGCTGAATTCTCTCGATACTGGAAACTATTTTCATCTGTTTGGGAATGAATTATAGGTCTGTCTGGCTCTGTTCACTCCTGTTTTAGGAAAAAAAAAGGGCTTGCCTGTGAACCAGAGCTAAGATTCACATGGCTGGTCAACTACAGCATTGCACTAACAATGATGAGAGAAAACCATGCACTAATAATAATGCTGCATTTCTATAACCCTTTTCATCTCAGAAGTACATTACATACTTAGAACAATAAACAATCAGACAAGAATCATTACATGTGCTGCCAAAATGCATCTAAACTTTAACAGCAACAAGCAGACCAACCCTGTTTTAGGACAGGAAGTCTGCAGACCTTATCCACACGAAATCAAAAGCATGTTTCAGGAACCAAGAACAAAGGTGGTGGGGTTAGGAACTTACCAAGCCTTCATGTTCTTAAGAAAGTGGCTAAGTACAGTCAGAAATTATTTTAAAGCAGAACAGAAAGCGTCTCTCCTCCAGCTGCTCAGCACCTTCTGCTCCACTGAGAGCCTGGGATTGCCTTCTAGGATTTCCTACCCAATAAGCTACCACAGCCCACAAAGGCTTCCCATTCCTACACTCATCCAGTTTCAGCCAGCTTATTGGACTTGTCCAAGAACAACACAAAGTATTTGCTTCTTCACAGCCAGAGCCTTGGAAAAATGACAACTCTACATGAAGGATGTTACCCTGGCATTCTGCTTCTCAGGCACATCAGGGAGGTGCTACTTCATAGGGTCTGACATGGTCAGTGAGTACTGTGGGGAGGATACTGAACTCTCCTTCACAGGCCTTGCTGCATTACTACTCCAGGCATTGGAGGCTTCAGGGCACCACCACCACTGAAGCCTCCATGGCTTCTTCGTCAGTTTTGTATGACTGTAGCAACAGACCCATACAAGCAAAGCTTTTCAGAGAGCACAGTAAAACCAATGGACTGGGAAGTCATGCCAAGAGAAATAAAACCCTACGAAGCAGGACTGGCAAGGAGCAGCTACGCAGCCATGCTTTCATCTGCTCTCACCCTGACTCAATGACTGCAAGGCAGATCGCAAGCAAAGGTAATTCCTTGTGTAGCTGCAACAAAACTAGGGACTTATCATCTAGATATTTCAGAACATTTTGGAGACATGGACACACAAAAAACAGCAAATCCAACCCCTGATAGTGGTTACATGCTCTGCAGCTTCACAGAAACGAAGTTGTGCAACAAAGGCATGGGATGGGATGACTTACCCAAAGTCACACAACCAGTAAGCATCCACGGCAAGTCCGGAAGAGTGCCTGCATTTACTAACTTCCAGTCCTGGGGCTAAACCACAAACTGAAATTCACGTTCTTTGTGCTGAAATAGGCTGCTCAATGCCACCACAGGTATGAGCAGAAAGGTGCCTTACTCCTCTGCAGTAGATCTAAGCTCACAAAGTTTTGATGCAAAGCGTTTTTTCTTGCTTGAAGCCTGGAAGCTACCACACACAGCCAGTTCACAACACCAAACCTGACCAAAGCTTTTGTCTGAAATGCCTCCAAATTGAGGCTTTTTAATGGCTTAATCTCAGAAAAGCAGAGCAACCAGCTTCTGTGAGTGCTTCAATACAGCTTAAGTCCATTAAAATAGCTCAGAAAGATAATCTCAGGCTATTAGGGCAATTTTTGCAGCTTTGTTCAGTAGGATCAGCAAGATGAATCTGCATTAAAAACAAATAGCAGCATTTTCTGGGAATCTAACTCCACAGATGCCCGAAACATAGAACACGTTTCCTTGGTGTTAAATGCTCATCTGATCCTTGCAGCACACCTGCAGACACCAGGCATCCTCCTGCATTATTATTGTGCTCCCCCTTTTCAACCAAAGCTAACAATCCAAGGCATATGGCAAGTTCTGGCTCTGTTATTTTTCCCCCCCAAATCCAAACCCAAACTAAAAGGTTTGTTTTATTCCTTCCTCTACCAGGCCCTGCAACACAGAGGAGGGCAGGGAAGCTGGATGACCCAGTCCCACTGTCAACACTGGGTAGACAAGCTATTTTTTAACGGACAGCCAGAAGAGGAAATAGCTGAAACCACAGCGCTGCAGCACCAACTTCCAAACTGCCAGTCACAAGGCATCAGTGCTGCCTTCACTTCCTTTTCTATGCAAATTTGTCATCCAACTCCCTGTCTTCACTTTGTATCATCTACAGCTACTGTTATGGCAGAAAAAGTTCATGACAGTTGTCTGATGAGGCTTTACTGCATTGCTCCCCGGTCACTCAGCATTTCGTCCATAGCACTGGCTTTGCTGCCCCTGCAGTTGAGTTCCCTCTGCTCTGGAGGGCTCCCATCCTCACTGGATGCATTTCTAAGGAACAGCAATGAGCAAAGTGAGATTCCCAATTGAGATTAAAAAAAATTTGCAGAGACTCAGTCTTGCTCCAAGCCCCACAGAATCATTGTCATGGGACAGCAGTCCAGGCTTAGAAAGTAAACTATTAAGACTTAGAACCTTAGATTTCAAATCTCTCAAGACTTGCCCATTTCAATAGTAATCACTACAGTTACTGCTTCCATCAAATCTGTACTACCTGGTCTTTGCAGCTGTTGGCAACTGAGCTTACTTGAAACATGAAAAAAAAGGAATTAATTCTTACAGTTCCCCTCTGAAATCTGTAAGTAGTGTCATCACTGCTGTGTTGTAGATGAGGGGGACAAGGCAGATGCATGGGACATTTTATCACACAGCCAGCACTGCCCTCATGCTAAGCTTTAGGGTAAAAGTGTGCGTGCTGAAATCAGTTGGAACAAAAGATTTCTACCAAAGCTAAACCTGACTGAAGTCTTTACATGCAGGAGAATGGAAGACATGGATATAACTAGCCTTTTTCGCGAGTTTTAGTATTATTTTACTTATTTTTTCTGAGAAATAAATTACCCTTTTGCTACACTTAAGTAGAAATCCCAAAGCTGTGAGAGCCCTTGGAACCAATGCGCAGTCACAAGTTCAGCAGTGCAGTCGAGTGGAAAAACATTTGCTTCCTTGTGCAGACTGTGCCACTGATTTCAAACTTTGTCCCTCCGAAGAAGTTCAAACCAAACAAGCAACATTCCTTGCAAGTTTTAGAACAAGTCCTTCACGTAGCTCCAGATCAGGTAGCACCAGAGATGACAAGTCCCTGTCATTTTAGTGTAGATACTCTGTTACTCCACGTGGAGTTCTACGGTGCTAATGACCAATTTTATGCTGCATAACCATCGTATACCCAAACTTCAGAAGCCCGGTTCTCATACTTGCTATTCCTGTTGCAGCCCAAAAGCACCATACCAAAGGTTACAGCACACTCCTTACTAGGAGAGCTTCTGGGCAGGCAGGAACAGCCCCAAAGGGAGCAAACATTTTAATATGTTAGAGCCAGGAATAACGGTCTTCTTACATTTATTTATTCTAAAGTTTTTCTTTGAGAGCCAAGAGCAGAAAACACAAATCACTTCACCTCTGCCCCCACTGCCATCTCTTGGAATGGAAGCAAAACTGGAAACTTGCTGATAGAATCTCACAGTGCTGCGTGAAGCCACTTCTGGAGCAGCTCACTTGGAGTACGGCAATGATCCAGAATGCGCTATTTAGCTCTAGACCCAATCGTGACCTGCCAGGTCAGCAGCCCATAGTAACGCCTCCCTCTGCTAAGCTTCACAGAGATCCTTCTGTAGATGTAGATTTTTCATCCACCCCCAACCCCTGGAAACCAGCTGGTTCCGATTTTTATTCCCTAGCTCGGATTTAAAAGAACAAAGAAAACCCTTTCTGGATTGCGTAAACACACAAAATGTAATTTTATTTGGCACTGAAGTATTTAAGCCCAGCATGCAAAGAAACAGCCACGGTCTCTCTGTCCTCAGTGTTTAGAAAAACTGAACTCCAAGGATCCATTTGTTTGAGTAACCAAACCAGACGTGCAGCAGTGAAGTAGCTGCCTTATTCTGGAAGTACTGTCCTGGTCTTTTGACTTTGTTGTATTAACAAGACTAGGAGATTAAATTGCAACGTACAAGTGCCATAAAACAGTGCTGACTGTTACAATACACAGGAGCTAGTATATTTTGATGTAATGACATTGTTTGATATAAGAACCATAATCAATCTGCAAGTCCCAATGCTTGTTTCAGGCAAATTCTCGGCTATTCCAGCATTTAAAGGAAGATGTTTAACTTCCATAGCTCTCCTGCAAGCTTGTTTGTTTTAATACCTCCCAAAATTTTGCTCAAGGGGGAAAAGAACAGCAAATATTGGTGGTGAAGCTGAGGCCTCTAAGATAGCTACAGCTTACAGGACACCCACTGTTCAATTTATATACTGCTCCACTAGAACAGACTGTGGCTTAAAAATTAAAATAGAACTAAGGGCTGCATTTAACTTACCATACCAAACTTGCAGTCATCTGGAATGACTTAAAAAGCATCCAGCTCTCCCCACTGAACGTGGGCTTCAGCTCTTCATATCAACCAGTTTTACGGAACAGTGACAAAACATTACGAATGGTGCTGTTGTGCCAAACACCTTCGTTTTTGAAGGGGTTTTCTACAGCTGGAGTGCAGGAAGACTTCTAGGGGATCTACTGTGTGTTCCTCGTAGCACACAGCTGAAAACTACTTACTACTGGAGTACAGCATCGCAAGCTACCTTGCAATGCATTGCTTTCTGAAAAGACAAGTCAGCATAATTACAAAGCAAACCTTGTTTTCGTTGGGTGGAAGGCAAGAGCAGCCACTCTGGAAGGTGGAAGGCAAGAGCAGCAACTTTGTGCCTGCTGAAGTTAAGTGTCCTTTTAGAAGAAACACCATTTCACCTTTGCACAACAGTGTAACTGTCAGAAGCTCCCTCAAAGCCAGAGTCTGAAATGAGAACAGTGCCAGGATGCGCAGATAGTTAATAGTCCTCCACCTTAGCTACTGGGAATGAGGACTGAGACCAGATAAACTTGTTTTACTTGTGATCAACACCCCTATAAGAAGGCTGGCAGCTTCCTAGCATTAGTCAGTGAAAAGGTTTATTTCTATTTGTTTTCTTCCTACAGCACAAAGGCTGGAGAGGTTGTGCCAGAATGTCTTCTGAAGCCTTTCTGAAGGAAATGCAAACCATTGGTGAGAAACTTCTCCTTAAGCTCCAAAAACTGCCCAAGGCTGACCCTGTGGAGATCGTGTCCTTCTGTGTGGTGCTCCTGTTTATTGGTAAGTTTAGTGGCAGAGGTGGAGGGGGGTCAGAGTGTCTCTGCTATGGGAACAGCTCGCTCTGCTGTCTTTGTTGATGGATCAGAACTGTTGGAGTTGTTTTCCAGGCTGCTTTCTGAGGCTCTATTTCATTGCTAGATCATTTTTTAGTATTCTGTGTGTACCTCTACACACATGCAGTGTATCACAGGCAACAGCAGAACTTTCCTCAAGGCTCCTCTAGTTTAGCATTAGTTTAAACAGTGATATTTTAACAAACCCAGAGTTGCTGCAGTGTTTTGATGCGTGGGAGATAGCTTATAACAAATGGCATCAGGGGACCACACTGCCATGAAAAATCCACGAGTCTGAGACCCTAAGTGTCATTGCTGTGCTTAGTTCAGTGGAAGCCAGCACGCTGCAGATGAGCCTATTTATTCTTCTCACTTAATGGCAAAATCTCTCCTGATGCTCTGTGTGGGGATGGAATGGAAGGAACAAACGAGACTGTTTGTGCGTGGGAGACAAAATTTGTTTAAACAATGGGGAAACAAGCAGCAAGGGAGGCAGGCCCACCTCCTCGGAGTACAGCTCTCTCCCAGCCTCAGTGCTGGAAGGAAGGGTGTGTGTGCAGCCTGGACACTCCTCCCTGGGCTGGAATTCAGAAACAGACACACCTGCTGATCTTTTTTGTTCACAGTGCCAGCTGATTCCCCACAGCTCAGAACATCTGGCAGCCCTTCTTCAGACTTGAATGCAGGCATGCACATGCTCCTTATGGGCTTTGCAGGATTAAACACGACATCTTTCTCTACTGGGGATAACCTAAAGTATCCCTTCCAACCCTGACCATCAGTGTAGAATAACAATCTGCTAATACACTAATGTAGAGTTATTCTACACTACATCCTGGTGTACAGTAACAATAGGGCAGCCTACTGCTTTGTGAAACAAAACCCTGTGTTTGAAGTATTTATTTCCTCAAGCTTAATACAGAAGAAAGAGTACAGCCAATCCAATCACAAATATCTACTCTTGTCCAAGGGTAAATATCATTACTCTTCAGAAACGGAACTGCCAGTTTGATTAGCAAAACCCTCTCTAGCTGCTTCTGACATAACTGTGGGGAGTATTTGATCTCTGTCCTTTTCAGTGCATAGCTCTGCTTAGTTGTTGCATGTCATTTCTGAAACAACAGCCCATAAGGCAGGTAAAGCTATCACAGAATTATAGAATTGTTTGACTTGGATGGAACAAACTCCCCTGCAATGAACAGGGACATCTACAGCTCCATTAGGGTTCTCAGAGCGTGGTCCAGCCCGACCTTGAATGTCCTCAGGGATAGGGCATCCACCACAAAGCTTTGCTCTTGCATGGTTTGGTACACAGCTCTTAAGAGCTCAAAATACCCAGTAATGACAGTAGTTTTGTGTGTGCAGTGGATGAGCTCTAGGGCCACAGCCTAGAAAGCTATCTTTTGGTCTGACGGTGATGTACAAATAAATACATTCTATATTTTTATTGTTATTGTCTTGCCTACCAAAATATACAAACAATTAGGGTGGACAAAGGGGAAAACCCCAATTCAGTGTCCACACCGTGGGTAAGTCAGTGTACCTAGCTCCTTTAACCTTATGAACAGCCAGCTGGCCAATCAGCATGGTTATTGACACCTACAGCTCCTACCAAGGCCTGACATGCACTGACATTTGCCCAGATTCAATGGATGACTAATACAAGAGAGCAGGAACTTACAAGGAGAGAGTTGGGAATATAAGGTAAAAATCACCAAGACGCTTGACTCTGTTCATCCTGCTGCTCAGACAGCCTGCAGGAGATATGGGATTAGTCTCCAGTGATTCCCCCTATGTCATGAAGTAATACCCTTTTTCCTTCTCTTTCCAGTAACTGTTCTCGTGCTGATGATCATTGCTTGCAGCTGCTGCTGTTACAGCTGCTGTAGCTGCAATGAGGGTCCTGACCACAGACGTAGGAAGGCCCAAGTCCGCCCGACTGCCCATCCATGAAGTGCATCAAGAGGTGACATAACCCATCATCAAGGACACGCACGGACATCGTGATTCAGTCCCATGGGAATGACTTTGCACTAATGCACTGGAAATGGCAATAACAATATTAATGATTATGACTCAGAGGACCAGAAATCACAGCATGAAATACATTCTTTCTGTGACAGCTACGGCTGGGCTCCACGATGTGAGCAGAAAGGTAACACAACTTTACCATAACTGTCTCCATGTTTGGGGTGGGCTGGGAGTGCATAGACATCAGCTTCTGACAAAACAGACACACTTACCCAATAACAGTCCTGCAGCTGAGCTAGCCAAGGGTTCCATTTGTGAGCATCAAGCCACACACCAAAGCAGAGAATATGAGAGTTGCCACATGGATAGGGGGCACCTACTCTCTTCACAAGTGCCTAATCCAGAAGAATGATGTTGGGTGCTAGCAAAACCACTGATATTGCTGGGATGTTGACATGCTCAGTACATCTTGGATCAAGCCCAAACCTGCTCTCTCAAAAGCCATGTGCAATAGACACCTTTAGCTGAGATGACTGCTGAAAACAACAGATTGTCAACCTGATGTAAATATGCCACCTGAGACTCGATGTACAGCTCCCTGACTACAAATACTCCCTGCCCTCTTTTGTGTCACAGCCATGTGAAACTGTCAAAAAGAAAAAATCAGATCACGTGCAATTCTCTTTGTAAAGAGAAAGATAAAGGCATTCAAGAAAAATTCACTGATGTTACAGTTTAATTTGATAAACATGCTGCTTCCCAACTTCCATGTGCTAGTTAGATCTTTCGTGAATTCTGCCCTTCTGCATATTGCAGGTGAGTGGTCCTTAGAGCATGGGAGTTACAGGAGACAAACAAACCCTCATCCTTACTTGAGGGACCTGTATGCCTGACTGTGCACCATGTGCAGCTTACTTCAGTGGACATAAACAATGTGCCAAAGGTATGTTCATTAGCATTCACAAAGGCATTTCAAAGGAGTGACACGCAGCGTGGTAATTGTCACTTCAGGGTACACATGCAGCAGCTGACAGCTGGCACTGTGACAAAGCACAGCCAAGAATGGCCTGTACAGCTGAAGTTACCAAGTGAAAATAAATCCCTATTCCATGTTGCAGCCACTGTGTATGTTTGGTTTACACTGCGGTGAACGTTAAGGAATTTCTCTAAGTACAAAGCTATGGTGCAGACAAGGACTTTCGTAACTTTTGTAACTTCAAATGGAAGATCATCATATTGCATCCAACTCTGCAAGCCAGTGGGCTTTCTTTCAGCCCGAAGTGTGAGAAAAGTCACTTTACAAGAAGGTATAAAAAGATGAGTACTCATAGATAAGTCATCTTCTACCCCTTGTATTCCACATTCTAAGTGCAGAGGAGTCAAGGGGATTACACATATGTATACCACAACCAAGAGAGAAAGGAATCAAGTTTTTAACAGTGGGATTTTAAGTATTTTCATGCTTCAGAAGGGACAACAAAACAGAAACTTTGTAAAGAGACCTCTTCCCTCTGATGCCTGTGCCCAAGTTACTAGAATGCTCATTACATCTGCAGCTTCTCATGAACTTAATGCACTTTAAAAAAAAATAACCTAGATGTAGGTATTTTGCATTTTTTCCACTTGCATATTGAAATAAATCCACCCCCACCAACACAGAGAACAGTCTAAAATTTACGACAAAGTTCCTCAAACTACCACTGTTACTTGAAAATTAATTAAAAACAAAACAAAAACAGCATTTAAAATTAACTAAAGCCAACAACCTTCCAGGATAAAGTGGGGACATTCCCTAGATATTAAACCTCTGAGCCCCAACTTGATCACTGCAATAAAATGAGGACTGTACCAGTATAAGCTGCTACATGCACAACCACATTAAGGCCAACAAATTGTGGCCTTTATTTTGCTATCCCAGAGCTTCCACTTACAACAAAATGCTAGGGTAGGGTAAGCTCAAGCACAGCATCAATTTACTGCGATCAACATGCCAAGGTGCTTCTCATTAACCTGTCAGATGCTTTTGCTCATTTATTTACAAACAAGTGGCAACCAAGGTGACACAGAAGTCTCAGAACCTCTCTTCTGCAGGAGACAGCCTCAACAGACATTTCAGTTTCAAAGTTAAATCACGAGACCTGTGAAAGAACAGAGCTTACTTTCTTTCCTAGCCTGTGCTAGACAGTGCCAGCTACAGCAGTTAACAGAATCCCATTGAGAAATGTTTCAGCAGCATGGAACCAGGCTGTACTAACAGTTAGGAGGAAGCTCAGCAGGCTGGAAACATACCAACAGCTCTGACAGGTGGCTGTCAATGGGAACGAGCTGCCAGGCATTATTGCAAAAGGAAAACCACAGATACATTTCCCGGTTGTGTTACAACCTACATCACTGACAGACACAAGGCAGGGGATAGGGAAACGGCTCCTTTCCTATTTCTCCCACTGTAAGTTCATGAATTAGAAGCAGAGAATAGATACAGTGCTGTTGGGGGGGAGAGGGAAGAGAGAGAGAGAAAAAAGGAAAAAAAATTAAGCAACTTTGTAAAGAATGCATCTGGCTTCTGGAGAAACTGCCAAGGAGAAAAGGGGCTGTAGGCCAACTTCTGCAAACCTGCCTGCACCTGATGTGTTTTTTTGTTGTTTTGTTTCATCCTTTATTCACATAAAGGGATCTGGAATGCTCTGAGCACTAGTGAGCATGGATCCTCTGTCTCAAAAAGCACAGAGGAAGGCAGACTACTGAAAAACTGTTTCAAATGCAGCAGTTTGAGTTTGCCTAGAAGAAACTACAAGGGGAAACAGTTACTTCAGTCTTGATGATACATAGCTCCTTTCCCTGAGAAACACAAAGCAGATCACAGCCTCTTCAGAAGAAGCAGCTGAACCACTTAATGGAAAGGCTTCTATTCCGTAATGTCACCTGTTAGACTCCAAAGAGACTTACTTGGCTTGTGAAAAACAAATTTCCTTCCACTCATACCCTCCTTCTCCTCTCTCGCTTCTCTTTATTACTTTCCCTTTGTTATTCCTCAGTTAAGAAAGCAACAGGGAGAGTTTATGTTGCAGCTAACAGCAGTACAAGGTTCTATGACTTCAACCATCTAATCTGTCATGATGACGTTTGGATTAGAGGACAGAGTTGTTCAGAGTTCACTTTACACATAGCAGCCTCCTAGCAGGATTTGTAATACAGATACAGTCAAGACCCAAAAAAGAACTTCCTCTTCTCCCCATTGCAACCTTCCTAAGATAGAGAACACAAAAACACTCTAAAAACTCTCAAATAGGTGTATGAGTGGATAAAGACATGGAGAGGAAGAAATTAATGACGTGTGAACTGAGTCTTTCTAACTGGGCTCAAAGCCTTTGACTAGATTAGCCACACCTTTGCAGGATAGCCAGCTGTTAAACATTTACTGCAGTACAAATAGGTAATTTCCATGCTAATTCTACAGCTATCCAGGTGTAGCAAAGTGATCTTTGCTAGGTTAAGATCTTTTCAAACAGGTGAAGAAGAGGCACCAGAAGAACTGCCTGCTGCAAACTCAACAGCTTCAGGTATTTATAAAATTGAATACAATCTGTATTCAATTTCAAAGTGTCCTATTTTAGAAGATTAATTTATCAAAAGAGACAGGAACCTTCTAAGGTCATATGTGTTTTCAATAGTTAAGTCAGCAGAGCTTGTATCTAGACTACCTTTTCTTTAAAGCAGAAGGAAGCTGTTCAGAGCAGTGTCTGTATCCTTTGTACCTTTGGTGATCTGACATAATTCCAAAATGGAAAAAGTATACTTTGGATGCTTAAAAAGTAATAAAAGTCTCAGAAAATTGAAGTGTGAGCTGGTGCTCCTAGTCAACTGTAACTTGCTGAGGCTGAAAACACTTTACAGAATTTGCATTAAGTATTTAGGATGCAGATGTAAGAGGCAACAAGTCAGGCAAATACTTGGAAATAAAGATCTCTTCCTGCATTGGGTCTGCAGTCACTTTTGAGAGAAAATGTGAGAAATAATCTATGCTTCCTTTCCCTTGAGAAGCATCTAGTAATGAAGCTTTAGTAAAGCCACAAGATACTCTACAACAGATGATATATCTTCCCTTAAAACAGCTGATAGCGAAGTCATAATGCAAAGTATCACTGATAGAGCAAGTGTGTACAGCCCACTGAGATTCCACTTTAAATTACTGCTGAATCTAAGTACTGAGTAGGCAGAAAACTTATACTTCTGTTGCAGAGTAACTCACAGCATGTGGCTCAACATTAAAACCATTAACAGGAGGCATTTCTCATGCAAGTGACTGTTCTAAATTGTATGGACATGACAAGCTCTATGTTATGTTCTATACTTGCTGTTGGTGTGCATTTGGTTGGTTGTGTTTGTTCTTAAATAAGTGGTTTTTTTTCTCCAGTGTGTTCTCAGTGCTTCAGTGTTCTACTCTCACTTTTAGAGATCTCTCTTTCCACTGGAATCAATAAAGGCTTCCCACTGGATGCCTGTCTTTCATGTATGGGCTGTATAGCTGAAGGATTCATATGCAACATGCTGGGAGAGATGCTATATTAAAATGTTGATAGGCTATGATGAAAGTAAGTCTCAACTGCCAAAACGTTGCGTAGCCAGATTTCCCCTCTACTTTTCTGAAGAGCTGACTGCTCAAGTGGCCTTGGTTATGCTGTTTCTGGTTTATGCTCCAGATTCTGCTATGACTCTACTTTTCAGAGGAGGAACACTTACCAGCACACAGAGCATGTGTGCCTGCGGTGGTTTAGAGCGTAGAGGGGATACATGAATATCTGATACAGCTCTTGTCTAACTCCAGCAGGGTGGAAGGCACCATGTCACCAATACAAGAGAAATCCTCAGCTCTGGAAGACCTCAGGAGTCGGATTGAAACGAGTGACTGGGCTGTTGCAGGGCTAGTGGTGATTGGCATCTTCTGCCTTGTTATTGTTGCTTTCTTCTTAATTGCAGCCACCTATGGGTGCTGCTCATCGCCAAGACACAAACGGACTAGGGCATGAATAGTGAAACTGAGGAGCAGTATTCGGAGCTCTGCATTTAAGCAAGAATCAGCCCAGCTGCAATACGGTGTTCTCATCTTCTGTCCTCAGGTGGTTATTTTTCCCCATACAGCTTTCCCAGAGCAATTCACCTATGCCAGCACATTGTTCTGCAAGTCCAGAGCAAACTCCACAGCAGGCAATCTGTATTCAGGAAGCAAATGAGGACTCTGGCATTTTGTTAATTACCTCTCTGCCTGATTTTTGTCTTTCAAGCAAAACCACAGGATAGACTTGCTGAGCAGTCAGCAACTACCTGGAAACCAAGAAGATCTCTTCCACTACTGCAATTACTTGTTTGTTTCTTCTATTCTGCAAATGGGCATTAGGAAACTGACTACAGCTTTGTCTGAATCAATTCTCTAAAAGCAGTTTAAACAGTTGTTCTCCTATCATACTCAAACAATAGCCTAAATACACTGCAAAAATTTGCCTGCCAGAATACAAATGTCTGCACGTGTTCTTATTTTAAATCTTGCAAGGTCAGAATTTCAGCTTTACTTTTGCTGTTTGGATACTGAACAGAGTTGTACTAATTCAAAGTGTGAAAAAGAAATGCGATGTAGTATTTCTTCAAAGAGCATCTTACTCTCTTGTCCAGCTGCAAGCAGAGAAGCCAGGCAATGGTGCTGCAATGGGTGACCTTGGAATGCACATGTTTTAATCTTGGGGAGGGAGTAACAAAACAAAAACTTAAAAGGAGAGACATGATTTCTAATTAGGTTAGTGGGCTTTCCTTACATAAATCTCTTACGTAGCCAGTGAAATTGTTTCTATTGTTATTCACCTAAGCAAAGGAGAATGTTTTCTCTCTATTCTCACCAAAGCATCAGAAAAGCACATATCACTTGAAGAACTTGTCCTAGATACAAGTGTAAAGAATGAAACAGAACACAAGCCTGAAAGCAGGACGTGTGCTGGTCACTTTCAGTTAGTGAATACATACTGCTCTTGTACTGGGAAAATTATAGCTTCAGTGTTTTATCCAGTATAGTAATTAGTACAATTACAGCCTACAAAGCATGAACTAAGCCTGAACAATATATGTTGTGGTTGCTAGTCTGCATTTAGATGGGGCACATCCATAATTTGGGCCTGTTTCTGAAAGGATCTAAGCACCACCAGGTCTTTCTAAGCTTGATGAAAATCAAGGAGACCTCATTCTTTGTAGAGTGGAGCTCCTGAGGTTTTAAAGCTAAGTGGTTCTATCCTGTCCTGGATAAGGCTGCTTAATTATCTCAAAAGAGAAATGATAGCTGAGGGAGAAGAGAGTCAAAACAACTGGAACCAAGTCATCTTATCACAGACAAAACATTAAAATTCATATAATGAGAAATCATACTTCTGCATTAACCAACATCTCAGTTAACTCAGAGGTGAGAATGAGTGATAGATGTCTGAGGGATGCCTTCCTCAAACTGGACAGAAAATATCAGTTGAATCAGTCAGTATTTTCTTTTTCCTGGACATGCATTTGCAGAAAGATCTCTGCCATAACAGTGCCTCAAAAAGGTAGGACATGATTTCCACAATATTAAATGTTGCTTGGAAGAAGCATACTCACCCCAGCTCCTCACAGAAGCTTACAATAGCATCAAAAGCTGTCATCACAGCCTTGTCAGATTCTTTTAAGGTGCCTTTTTTTTCCTGAAAGTAGAGAGGGACAAGTTTTCAATTCAAATACAAACAGGTCAACTAACTCTAGTGATAAGCAATTCCATTCCTCCTGAGCAATGTGGCAAACTGAAGCCAATGGGATGAGTTTCAACAAGGCCAAATGCCGGGTCCTGCACTTCGGCCACAACAACCCCAGGCGACGCTACAGGCTTGGGGCGGTGTGGCTGGAGGACTGTGTAGAGGAAATGGACCTGGGGGTATTGATTGATGCTCGGCTGAACATGAGCCGACAGTGTGCCCAGGTGGCCAAGAAGGCCAATGGCATCCTGGCTTGCATCAGAAACAGTGTTGCAAGCAGGAGCAGAGAGGTGATTGTTCCCTTGTATTCAGCACTGGTGAGGCCGCACCTCGAGTACTGTGTCCAGTTTTGGGCCCCTCACTGCAAGAAAGATATTGAGGCCCTGGAACGTGTTCAAAGGAGGGCAACAAAGCTGGTGAGGGGTCTGGAACACAGGCCATATGAGGAGAGGCTGAAGGAGCTGGGAATGTTCAGCCTGGAGAAGAGGAGGCTCAGGGGAGACCTCATTGCTCTCTATAACTTCCTGAAGGGAGGTTGTAGTGAGCTGGGGGTCGGCCTCTTCTCTCGTGTCGCGATAGGACCAGGGGGAATGGCTTCAAGCTACGGCAGGGGAGATTCAGGCTGGACATGAGGAAGTATTACTGTTCAGAAAGGGTGGTCAGGCACTGGAACGGATGCCCAGGGAGGTGGTGGAGTCACCGAGCCTGGGGGTGTTCAAGGAAAGACTGGATGTTGTGTTGAGGGACATGGTTTAGTGGGAGCTATTGGGAACAGGTGAACGGTTGGACTGGGTGATCTTTTAGGTCTTTTCCAACCTTGGTGATTCTATGATTCTATGATTCTATGAAACTGGTACAGGCACCGTCCTGCTTCTGCTCAACCATGCCTCTCTAGGGCTTGAGCTGGGCCTGGAGCCCTCACCTCCCTGCTCTCCCTTGAAATTGGGTTACAGACAGCTGTATATTCAACACCTGCTCTTACAGCTCCAGAAAAAAAACTCATTTCATCTTTGTGTATTTAGGTGGATCAGGTGGATGCTTGTTCTGCCAAACTTACCTGGATTTTAGAGAGTTCCTTCTTGATCAGGAAGCTAACTTGATCCCGGTCATTCCTGGAGTAATAGAGGCGGCAGCAGGAGGGCTTCCCATCTCTCCCAGCTCTGCCAGACTCTTGGTAATATCCTGCCATTGACTTGGCAATGTTCCAATGAGCAACAAACCTGCAAGTGATAAGACAGTGGAAACACAAGGCTGCAGCTTTCTCAACTCAGGGCATGCACACATGTGTTCGTGGATATTAACAACAGAGTAAATAATAAGGCAACAAAAGCATAAAAGACAGAGAACTTGGCAGAATGAGGGATTCTGCACATAGAATTATAAGTCTTAACATAAGACGCAAGGAAAGCAGCAGAACTATGTAAGCCAATGCATGGGAACAAGTGAGCAGGATGCCACACAAAATGGATGAAAGCAAAAGGGCACACAAATATCCAAACATAACTGAACAGCTGTGAAGAGCAAGAATAAGGACACTGATTTAAGGAGTCTGGAATATTTTACCACAAAGCAGGGGATTTTAAAAAGCCCTATTTATTTGAAATGCTTGATTTTAAAAAGACATTTCAATGTCAAGTCTGTGAGAAAAACTCTACCTCACCAAACTTACTTGTAGACAAAGGCACCTTTCCCAAGTCAGCAAATATGACTACAAACTGCTGCTAAACTGTGAGTAATCTCTGAATGGATGTTTTTAAATGCAATGCCACAAGACTGCTTTAAATCTGCTTGTGTTTGAATATTCAGAAACTCAGTTCATACCTGTGTTCAGCCCTGAGAGGTCTGAGCATTTTACCATGCAGTAATGCTGCCAGTATTTTAGATACCAGTCTGCCTCAAAACCGGTCCTTTTAAAGCTCTGCCCAGAGGCAGGAAAGATGTACACTGGTGTGATAGAAGACTAAAAGCTAAAAGTTGCTCCAAACACAAATGCTTCAGGACCAGACCAGGTATGAATAATCTTAACTAAAAATGAACTAGCAGCGAAGAAGAAATTTCCTTCAGAGAGACAACAGCTCTGTTTTTCCTTTTGATACAAAGGGTCACCTCCAGAACTTGTCTGACTTGATCTTACTTGATAGAATACACATGAATACTCAGAACTCTGCCAACAAAAACTGAAGACTAAGCAGCAGGGCCTCGTACCTGGGCTAGGGTTTAATATCCTTAACTTACTGAAAAACAACTTATAAGGAGTAATTTTAACCTAATTTCTTGGACATCAACCGTACTACAAAAGCAGGTTTCAGCTATATTTTACCCTCCATCAGCCCTATGCATTTCAGATATTTTTTGCTGGTTTATTGGCCATTGCAATGAACAGGGGAGAGACTAATTTCAGCAGGTCGTTAATTCATGCTAGTCTGTTAGAGAATTCTAATTGCTCTTTTCAGAAATTAGTTGCATGTTACACGCAACAAGCAGTAAGAAGTCTGATATTGCTACAGAACCCTGTCTGTCAGCACGGAGGATGGCATAATTATTTAACAAGGCACAGTTTAATGGCACAGTTGTGAATAGATGTGATAGCCTCAGTGATGCCTTGTCACCCTCCTACAGCATTCAGAGTAATTGCTTTTCGTGGATTTTGTGTAAAGATCAGCTCCACAGACGTCGTTGCACAGCTTCTAAGAAAACTTCCAGATCTATTTTTATGAGTTTCAGCAAGCCTTCATCAAGTGTTTGAGTCAGGTATACCAGGTAATAGACACTGAGGTTTTCCCTTCCTGCTGCTCAGGTTTCAGTCTCTGATGGAGCACAACACTCAGCTTCACAAACCTGACATTTGCTTTGTCTACTCCCATTCCAAAACTGATGGTTGCAACAATAACTGGGATCTTCTCCTCCATCCATTCATTCTGAACTGAAGTCCTGTCAGCTGCCTTGAGCCCTGGAAATGGAAGAAGGTGAAAAGAAACAAAATAAAACAAAAAAGAGAAGAAGTATTTTGTGCCCCCTCCTCACATTGCCCCATTTCAACCCCCTCAACTAAAAACAAACCGATGTACACACTTTTCTCTGTCCATGTTTAAGCTGGCTGGGGATCAAGCAGAAGTCAGCAGCAGCTGTTTCTGTTCCAAAGAGAAAAATCTGGAACATTCCTGGGAGGAGTGCAGTTATATTTAGGCCATGCAAGATCCAACAAAACTAACAGCTCTGAAGTGGAGAGAATGCTGTTCTGCTCTGTTACCCATATTTACCTCGAAGATCCGATGTATTACAGACCATGCCAAGAAAGCTAATTTCTAGGTAATCCCATCTAGGCCTTAAAGGTGGTACAGTTCAGTTCTACCAGCTGCTGAGAGATGCAGATTTCAGTACCTGCATGATACGCTTTGGCTTTCACTCCTCGGTAGCTCAATTCAATAGCCAGCTGGTCACACACATCCCTCATCCTGCAGTACACAATGCCACAGCCAGAGTACACCTGGGCACACAGGAGAGAAAGTCTGTGATGCTGGCTGAAGTCAATCAACAAAGCTGCAGTTATCAATAAGGAGGAAATGGAGGGATGTCTAAGGCTCATCTCATCTCCAAGCTGGTTCCACAGCAACTTAAAGACATTGTCTTGGCACAGAAGTAAATTAGATTTAAGGACAGCCTCTTTACAAGTCCCACAAGGACTAAAAATGCTGAACAAACACGGTCCCCCAGCCTCTCTCAAAGAAGACAAAGCAAGAAGCAGTAAC